ATCTTATTAAATAAGATAAAATGCACACTTTCTAATTAACAAAGTACATCTCTCTCTCTCTATCTATCTATCTATCTATCTATCTATCTATCTATCTATCTATCTATACCTATATTAATGTTTCCAGTGTGTTTGTTGCTGCTGTGCTTGTTTTCTATTCAAAGGTAGTAAATGAAACTTTTAGCCATTCTTACTACCTCTGCGAATTTAGCAAATATCCTCACAGGTTGGTTAACGATAGACTCCAAAGAAAGTGGGATAAAACTTCATGCAGGTCGCTTGTTTATTACTTTTTGGAATCCAGAGGGAGTCATATAAAATACTGTATCTGCACTGATGTATTCTCTAACCTATTGAAACAGAAATAAACACCCCTTCCTCTGTGTTTCTACAGCACATTGCTTAGACTTCTATGTAGCATAATTTTTATGTTCTCTTATGTTACAGATTATGTTGTCTTATGTGTCCATCTAATTGTTGACTTACTTTAATGTAGGTATCTTATTTTGTTCATCTTTATATTCCCAATGCTTAATAGAATGTTTTCCCCATAGAAACACTTGATAACAGTTTGCTAAAAGAGTCAATAAATAATTAGGGTTAGTCTTATATCTGAAAGCTGTAGAGAAAAATATAACTCAGGCTATTATTTTTATTTAACAGAGAATGGCAGAGGAGAGGAAGAGAATGGGTAAAGACAAGATGCCTAGTATACTTGCACATAAAGACAATTTTAATAGTAAAATGAAGCTGGAGAACAGACAATCCAAATATGTTTAAACAAGACTTTGATCAATATTTGAAGAAAAATAGTTCCTCAAACTAAACTTTATAGTTTAGTCATGGCTCTGAAGGGAATGGATGTTCAGTTTCCAGGACCATGGCTCTATTTCCTATTTGCTTTTATTCTAATGAGAAATCATATTTTTCAGTTGAGCTCTTTTTATTTCCCCATTTGGAATCATGTCTCCAAATATTTTGATTTTATAAGGTTTTTGATAATTTAGGCTTAGATGATTTTCTTTGAAACTTCTGTATTCAGAGGTAATTATTAGTGAAGGGCAGTATCAAGCAATTTTATGTAAGATGTGCTAATGATGTATTGCAAAATCATTCTTTAAAAGATGAAAACTTAGCTTTATGAGAAACGATCTTATATCAGATTACTGTTCTTTGCATTCTGATTTTCAAAATTAATGATGCAGAATGCTATGTATGACTTGAAGTAGTTCAAATATATGCAGTTGGCCTTATTCACATCAGTTAACAATAATAATTCTTTTACTGTGAAGACTTAGATGCAAAGTGTCCTTTAATCTGCCATCAAATTGAGCCCTATAACTATTCTCTGGCATAGGTTTAGTCATTACTATCTTCATTATATTATATATTAATAAAATTTAAGTTAATTTCAAATAATCATCTGATCATTAAATGGTGGAGCCAAGTATTCAAAAAAGATGGTTTAGTTTCACATCCAGTGTACCTTCCATTATCCTATGCTGTCTTCCAATTTCAATTACATAGATGACATTATAAAGGAAATATCATGGTTTGGGAGTTTTCTTACCCAATGCAGCAAAATAAAATGAATTAGCATAATAATAATAAAATGAATAAGGGTAAGTGAGAGATGACTAAAGTAGGGAAAGGAAAGAGTTCTATTTTTTGGTTACAGAACTGCAAAATTAAGCGATATGTAAATTTTCAGAGTTAAGGCGCAAATAACCTTAGAGGACCTAAAGTGATGAGTTAAAGTGGACACAGTTCACTTCAAAATGTCTTTTTATTTTTTGAATGGTATTATCTACTGTTCTGACCCATTTAGGAGTCAAAAATTAGAAAAAATTTAAAGTGAGAGCTATTTTTAGAGAAATAAAAAAGTAAAGTTTGGAAACAATAAAATAATGATGACCTCTACTACAAGAGAAAAAAAAANAAAAAAAAATAGTTTTACATTAAAGCTAATGTATTTGTCTTTGTTGGCAAATGAGCAGAGAAAGTTGGACTCCAAAAATCCACAGTAAATAAAATATAAATTTTAGTAATTCAGGTTAGGAAGACTTTAGAATTTTTGGATATAAGACATCTTTTGGAGTTTCTAAGCCCAGAAGATGATCGAACATATCACTTTGCTCTGAGCAGAGTCTGGTGTGAGCTGGTTAGTGCTGATTAAATTACTATGTGAAATACAGCTCTGCCTAGAGCTGATAACCATAGCCAAATAAAACTGCTCTCCAAATTACTCCTACCCTTGTAAAATTGTATAAAATACTTCTCTTTAAAAAATAATTCTCATTTTAAAATTTCTCCAATTTTTGATTCCTGATTGGGTCAGGAAAGTAGATAATACCATTCAAATATAGTAAGGCCTTTTTGCAGGAACTATATCCACTGTAACTCATCACTTCAGGTCCTCTAAAGTTATTTACTCCTTAATTCTATTTTAAAATGTATGTATTACTCAAATTTGCAGTTCTCTGATTAAAAAAAAAAGAACATTTTTTCTTTTTCTACTTTCTCTTTAAATAAGAAATCTGTGATCAACTCTGGCATCTCCTGTGAACTCTCAGTACCCATTTATACAGCATAGCACACAATTTTATAGATTGTACACACTTTTATACATCCATGGTATCTTCCATGCCTTCTTTTTCTGAGTCTTTTCTAATCAGGGTCTCTATGTGATCAGAGCCAGTAATCTTTCTCTAGAGATGATAAAAGTACAAGGAAAAGGTCAGAGGTCCAGGTGTCAAGCTACCAAGGTGTAAGATTTTCTCATCATGCCCTTCTATATAACTCAGGGACATGCCTTCGTACTTGCACTAATAATTATAAACAATGCTCAGAGACTGGAGAATCTATATCTGTCTCATGGGTCTGGGAGAACAGGGTGGGACTGAATTTAAAGTCAACAACAGGCAGAGTAACAGTCAGAGTACTGCCACAGCAACTTTTAACATAAATCTCTCCTGGCCGTAACGACTGAAAACACAAGGAACTCATCTCTACTGATGTATCACTTCTTACCTAAATACCTCCTGTGGACTTCATATTACTACCTTATCCTAAAGACTATAGTTCTTTTCTAAATTTTTTTATTGACACAATTGATTTTACATATTTGTGGAATACAGAGTTGAATATCGATACCTGTGTATAATATGTGATGATCAAATTAGGATAATTAGTATATTCGTCATTACAAAATGTAATCATTCTTTTGTGACCCTTCACAAATTTCT